TGGGTGTGATCCTGGAGACCCGGGATCGAGTCCCACGTTGGGCTCCCTGCATAGAGCCTGCTTCTCCCTCTGCCTATGTCTCTGCCCCTCTCTCTCTCTCTCTGTCTCTCATGAATGAATGAATGAATGAATGAATGAATGAATAAACCACTGGGCATAAGAAACATAAAAGGAGTTCTGAGTAACCAGACTCTGAGAGCAAGGGTTCTGAGAAATTTCATGTCGAAGATGTTGAAGACTAGCACTCATCTATGAAAGTATCTAGGAATTCAAATCAAAATTAAGGCAAATACAATAATTTTTCTTAGAAATAGTCATTAAGAATGGTTTTAGGGCAGCCTGGGTGGCTCAGCGGTTTAGTGCTGCCTTCGACCCAGGGTGTGGTCCTGGAGACCCAAGATCGAGTCCTGCGTCGGGCTCCCTGCATGTGTTTCTCCTCCCTGTGTTTCTGCCTCTCTCTCTGTGTGTGTGTCTCATGAATAAATAAATAAAATCTTTAAAAAAAAAAGAATGGTTTTATTACATCACTTAATGCAAGATATGTAGAAAATATAAAGCATTTCAAGGTGGAATAACAATCAAGTACTAGATTGCTTTATCTTTTCACAATAGTATAGTTCTCGTTTTTTTTTTAACATCTCTACTTCTTGTATTAAAAACAAACAAAAAAATGCTAAAACCTTCAACTGATTTGCCCTGGCACTGATAACTCCAGAAGTATCTGCACTGTTTTCTCATTCGGGCAAGTCAAGAATAAAAACACAAACAGATAAATACTAACATGCGCTGCATTAAACTAGTCTGATTAGGAGTTAGATGACTCAGTTTTCACCGGTTTCCCATTACCTCTCATCCCACACATGTAAATATAAACAATCGCCTTTACTCAACACTATACACAGAGCTCACTGTAAAATAAACCACGTTAACTTCCACAGTATTTAAAAAACTATGAAATGCAACTTTGAAAAATTCAATGAAGAAAGACATTAAAAAGCCATCTTTGTGTAGCTCCCCGGCTACGAAGGCTGTGAGTGGGCCACGTGGATACCCTTCACTCAGGAGACTGTTCACTGCTTACCCGCTAAGTTTAAATCACTACCCCTTGAAATGGCCTGGAATTATGAGGCTGCAGCTACCTGCACTGGAACTATTGAAGAATTTAGCCATTTGGGGATCCCTGGGTGGCGCAGCGGTTTGGCTCCTGCCTTTGGCCCAGGGCGCGATCCTGGAGACCCGGGGTCGAGTCCCACGTTGGGCTCCCGGTGCATGGAGCCTGCTTCTCTCTCTGCCTGTGTCTCTGCCTCTCTCTCTCTCTCTCTCTGTCTGTGTGACTATCATAAATAAATAAAAATTAAAAAAAAAGAAATGTTAAAAAAAAAGAATTTAGCCATTTGGTGGCAAGAACCCTCTTTGAGAACCTAGGTTCATAGATGACGGCCATCGTGTACACTTAAATGAAAAGAAATAACCCAGGCTGACCAACATCTTCTGGGCATCGAGCTTTTATGCCAGTGGATGTGAAGATCCCAAGGGGAGCCCGATATAGAGATACAGGTTGGTAGTGACACACGGAAACACCGCTGAGAACCAATTCCAAGAGGAAACAAGGAAGGCAGTAATCCCTCTGACATTGGTCCTCACAACATTTTTCTAGCTCTGTCTCCTGAAGCAAGAAATAAAAGCAAAACTAACCTATTGGGACTACATCAAAATAAATAGTTTCAGCACAGAGAAAGAAACAATCACAACTAAAATGCAACCCATGAATGGGAGAAGATGTTTGGAAATAATATCTAACAAAGGGTTGGTATCAAAAATATATAATGAACTGATACAACTTAATACCCCAAAAAAAACAAATAACCCAATTTAAAAAAAGGGCAGAAGATATAAGCAGACATTTCTACAAAGACCTTCCAGAGCCAAGAGACTCATGAAAAGATGCTCCATATCCCTCATCATCAGGGAAACGCAAATCACAACTATAATGAGCTATCACCTCGCACCTTGAGAATGGCTAAAACCAAAAACACAAGAAACAACAAATGGGGGCTAGAATGTGGAGAAAAAGGAACACTTGTGCACTGTTAGTGGGGATGCAAACTGGTGCAGCCACAGAGGAAAACAGTACGGAGCTTCCTCAAACAAAAATAAAACCATCCTGTAATCCAGTAATCACACAACTGCATATTTACTAAAAAAAAAAAAATACCAAAACACTAATTCAAAGGGATACATGCAACTGTATGTTTATTGGAGGATTATTCACAATAGCCCAACTATGGAAGCTGCCCAAGTGTCCATTGGTAGATGAATGGATAAAGATCTGATACAGATAGACGAGAGAGAGAGAGAGGGAGAGAGAGAGAGAGAGAGATCTACGCAGATAGCAAGATAGATGATGGATGGATGGATGGATAGATAGATAATGGAATATGATACAGTCGTAAAAGAATGAAATCTTGCCATTTGCAACATGGATGGAGCCAGAGAGTATAAAGGGAAGAGAAATCAGTAAGTCAGAGAAAGACAGACACCATGTGATCTCATATGTGAAATTCAAGAAACAAATGAACAAAGGGAAAGAGAGAGAGTAAGACCAGCAAACAGATTCTTAACTAGAGAGCCAACACGGCTACCAGAGGGGATGTGGGTGGGGGGATGCGGGAAATCGGGGGTGAGGATTAAAGAGTGCCCGAGTCATGATGAATGAAAGACGGAATGATAAGAATATTGGTAGATTACGAGTTCAAGACTCTGCCCTTGATATTCTGGTCTTCCTTTGTGCAGAATGCACAGGGGCTGCCGAACATCGAGCGTACCTAACGCCGGACCTACTGCACCCTAAACATGGAGGAGTAAGAACATAAAGTAAGCGCTCAGGGAATAGGTATTTCCTGGGACCCCTGGGTGGCTGAGCAGTTAAACTCCTGCCCTCGGCCCAGGGCGTGACCCCGGGGAGCCGGGATCGAGTCCCACATCGAGTCCCTGCATGGAGCCTGCTTCTCCCTCCGCCTGTGTCTCTGCCTCTCTCTGTGTCTCTGTCTCTCATGAATAAATAAAATCTTTTTTTTTACACCGCATCATTATTTTTAATGTCCAATGTTTATAATATGAGGGCCGGGGCTTTCTCCTCAACTCAAGTTTATAAATTTTCAATTGGCTTGTGAGGCCCATAGGGATATTTCTTCTTGTCTAATTTGGTTTCTGGGAAGACTTCATTCAGGTCCTCAATGGTCATCTGATCAGATGTATTATGTTCTTCGTCCTCTCCAGCTCTTTTTCATATTCTTCAATCCTGGCCTTTGAGAGAGACAGAAACTCAGCACAGCTTTTCACATCTTCTTTTTCCCCAGCATCCACCTGGACAGTGTATTTATCCTCTGGCACAGGAACCTTCAGGGCATTAAACTTCTTCTCAAAGTCATCTACCAAGCCGGCCTCTGCCACATTGGCCTTGTAGTAAGCCCAGTCGACAGCAGGTGGTTTCTCAGGAAGAGCAGCCAACCTGGAGGCAAGCATCTCATTCCAGGATTTCAGGGAGTTGGCAATGGCCTTCTGGTTTCGGGGTATGATCTCCCCAAAAGCGACCCAGTCAATGGTTTTTAGAGCAACTTTTCGCCCAGCCATCTTGAGATCCTTCCCCGACCCCCAATAAAATCTTTTTTTAAAAAAAAAAGAATAAGGTATTTCCTATAGATTATCCCAGAAAACAAATGTTTACACATATGATTGTGGCATTTGAGAACAAGTCCACTCACCAGAAGTCTAGATTTCAACTCATTTCCACTTATGTACAAAAGAAGGCCTGGGGTTGGAAGGAATCTCCGCGATTACCCGGCTTGCTCGGATTTGTATTTGGGTCTGGACAGCGGCAGTGCTGCCCCAAAGGCACCTCCTTGCCGTTTTACTCCTGGGCAAGGAGCGGATGGCGCGGCCCTCCTAGAAAGGGGAGCGCTGTGAGAACCCCCGGGCCCCCCGGGCGTCTTTCCTCTACTGAGGGTCCATCTGTAAAATGGGTCCTGAGCGCCCTTCCCGGCCTTGGGTCTCGCTGGAACCGGCAAGAGCAGGGTCGGGGCCAGTCGGTCCCCACTTGCTCCTGCTCCTGCTCCTGCTGAACCTCGTGTCCGCCGTCGGCCGGGCTGCACCTCCTTCACGTCCACCTGCCAGGAGCGCAGCCCCCGTCTCCCGCTCGCAGGACCACACAGCCAGGCCCCGCATCGGCCCGATGGTGAGGGGACAAGGGCGTCCAGCCTTCCTCTGCGCGGCCACCACGGTTCTCAGGGATTTCTTCACCAGCCCCTGGGGGACGCGGCCGTCATATCGTCCTTCTTGGTGGAACCTCCTAAGTACCTGGCGCTGCCAGCCTGTGACCATGATGACCTCGAGCGCATCACTGGTGGGGGCGCGAGTCCCCACCTGCGCTCCCAGGACGAGGTCTGGGCGCGGTCGCACCGGGAAGGGGCAGTGAAAACTTAGCACCCCGGGTGCTCGCAGGCCCTGTGGGTGCCCAGGTGGGCCAGGGCGCTCGCGGGCCCTGTGGGTGCCCAGGTGGGCCAGGGCGCTCGCGGGCCCTGTGGGTGCCCAGGTGGGCAGGGGCTGGAGCTTCAGAGGTCTCCAGACCCAGAGAGCTGGACTTGGCTTTGACAGTGTGACTTGAGGGAGGCCTGCGGCGCCCCTGTGAGGGCCAGGCCGTCATCCCCACTGGCCCCGACCCTGCTCCTGCCCGCGTACTCACTGCTCATCTGCCGGCAGGTGCGCTCCCCCTCCCCCTGCCCGCGTACTCACGGCTCCGCCTGCGGGCAGGTGCGCCCCCTCCCCTTTCCCCCTCCCCCGCCGCGTACTCAGGGCCCGACCTGCCCGCAGGTGCTCCCCCTCCCCTATCCCCCTCCCCCGCCCGCGTACTCACGGCTCCGCCTGCGGGCAGGTGCGCCCCCCTCCCCCCTCCCCTCCCCCACCCCCCTCCCCCCCCCCCCCCCGCCCGCCCGCGTACTCACGGCTCCGCCTGCAGGCTCCGGTCCTCCGCCAGGTAGTTGGAGGGCACGTAGCCCTGCGGCCGCCCCGCGCCGCGCCCGTCCAGCCGCCGGGCCAGCCACCAGCCCTCCAGGGACGCGTCCAGCACCTGCAGCCGCTCGCCGGCGCGGAAGCTCAGGTCCTCCGCCGTGCGGGCCCGGTAATCGAACAGCGCCACGAAGTAGCGGCCGCCGCCGGGCTGCGGACCCCGCGTCGGGGCGGCGTCGGGGCGGGCGCGGGCCCCCGGGTTCCCGATCACCAGCGGCTTCTCGGGCTCGCGGCCCGCGCAGGGCAGCCAGCGCCGCAGGTGCGCGCACAGCCGCACGCAGGTGCCGCCCATGGCTGCTCCCCCGCCCTGCGGAGCCCCTCGCAGGGCTGCAGGGCCCTGCTCGGTCCGCGGGCGCACCTGCCGCCGCCCGGGGCGAGGCTGCTCGCAGCAAACCTGGCACGGGGCGGCCCCTGCGGACGGACGGAGGAGCCCCCTCGCCTGCGCCCTGCCGGTCCGCGGGCGCAACAGGTGGGCCCGCCCTCCGCCCGCCCCGCCCGCAGCGCGTTCCTAAGCCCGTCCCTAACCCCCGCCCGCAGCGCGTCCCTAGGCCCGTCCCTAACCTCCCGCCAGCTGCACCCCGCAGCGCGTCCCTAAGCCCGTCCCTAACTGCCCGCCAGCAGCACGTCCCTAGGCCCGTCCCTAACCTCCCGCTAGCAGTGCACCCGCACTACGTCCCTAAGCCCGTACCTAACTGCCCGCCTGCAGCACGTTGCTAGGCCCGTCCCTAGGCCCGTCCCTAACGCCCACCCAGCAGCGTCCCTAGGCCGTCCCTAACTGCCCGCCACCAGCACGTCCCTAGGCCCGTCCTTAATCTCCCGCTAGCTGCGCCCTGCAGCACGTCCCTAGGCCCGTCCCTAGGCCCATCTCTAACCACCCAACCCGCAGTGTCCCTAAGCCCATCCCTAACCTCCCGCCGGCAACGCATCCCTAAGCCCATCCCTAACCCCCTGCCCACAGCACGTCCCTAGGCCCATCCCTAACCGCCCACCCCGCAGCGTCCCTAGGCCAGTCCCTAACCTCCCGCCAGCTGCGCCCCACGGCCCGGGAGCCCCCCCGCACTTCCTGGTTCCCCCCCCCGTCGGGGATCCGCAGGGGCCCCCCACCTGCCCACCCCAGGGACACCCGCGCCCCCGCCGGGAGCCAGACCCCCAGGCAGCCCCACCGCTGCACAAGCTGGCTCCCCGGGGACCCTGCTCGCCCCACCTGCCCAGCACAGATTTCCTCTGTGGAGTGGGGTCATTTTGCCCCCACTAGGGGCAGTTAACAGGGGACCTAAAGTGGCCGGATATCTGCTCCTGGACCAACGGCACCTGGGGAAGAACCCCTGGGCTCCTTTTTTCATCACTACACATGATTTTTTTTTAATGGCTTCAAAATATATTTACGGTCTGGAGAAATACGAGAGCAGCTGATGAAAACGCTGAGAACCTGAAATGCTGCTTTTTCCCAGAGACATTTCGTTTCCCATCTCTCCCGGACTATTCCTGAGGCGCGCACAGGGACACAGACCAGGGGACTGTGCGGAGGACAGGAAGGGCTCCTTGGCTCCCTCTGGCCTCCAGGTCTAGGGGATGCTCATGACCCCACCCTAGGACCTCAGGAGCTTGGCTCTCCTCGCCCCACTTGCCACCGCTGTCTCCCACAAATGTGCACTCTGGACCCCAAGAGCCACCAGGCCCAGGTTTGGACAGACCCACAGGCTGCCGCTTTCCCTCGTAGAGACGGCTCCCGGCCCGTGTACGAGGTGTCACTTGTTTCTGTAGAAGACATTTATTATTACAACTCCCCTTCCTAAACCCGACCTCCCTGTGTGTTGGTGGAGGCATGAACCCGGCTAACCAAGCCCCAGCACAACATCCAAATTCCCGTTCTCTGACAAACAGTAAGGCCTTTTTAGCGGTCAGAATAATCAAACTGAAGGAAAGGGGGCAAAAACCCCCAGAGAACCGTGGCTTTAGCCCCATCCGCTCCCTCCTACCTTGTACTAAAATCAGTTATTTACAGTGGACAGATGACTTGGCTGGAACAAGATCTCGTGCCAAATTCCCAGGTTTTTCCACTGTCTTCGGAGTTAGAGCAGAAGTACCAATTTAGCAGGAAAAGAAAAGCCAAAAGCCGAGCCAGTTTTGGACGTCTGTTTGTCTGTGACATGGGACCTAAAATAGAATTCTCTACATAAGAGATAAATGGCAATTATATAATATTGAGAAGCCATAAGAATATTTTGTTTCAGACACAGTATTAATTGTAAAACTGTGGGATTCTATTAACACCCCTGCACAGACATGTAGGCTGCTAGTCTTTCCAGAAACAGCTACAGGATATAAAGATGAAAGGAAATTTGGGAGCAACTGGAGACATGGATTCAAGGCCAATTTGTCAGGGCACCTGAGTGGCTCAGGAGGTGAGTTCCAGGTGTGACCCCGGGGTCCTGGGATCGAGTCCCGTGTTGGGCTCCCTGCGTGGAGCCTGCTTCTCCCTCTGCCTGGGTCTCTGCCTCTCTCTCTCTCTCTCTCTCTCTCTCTCTCTCTCTCTGTGTGTGTGTGTGTGTGTGTCTCATGAATAAATAAATACAATCTTTAAAAAAACAAAAAGACCCATTTGTAAGTGGAGCTTGGGACTTCAAGAATTCAAGGTCTTTAAATTCAAATACGCCTCCATTATGGTCACGACAGGCATTCCAGAAAAAGACAGTGGCCGACGTGCCCAGCACATCACCAAGCTAGTGAGTGACACTGAGGGAGCGGGGGACTGTGTCGGTCTGAGAGCTGAGCCACGGACGGGAGGGAAAGGGCTTCTCTGTGTCACCAGCCCCAGAACTGCGCAGCCACCCAAGCTTGAAGGCTTGAACACGTCTTTTACTCTCCCCCTGCTTCCTCTGAGCTAATCAATCACTAAATTCTGCTCACTCTTCCTTTTCATTTATTCCACAAACATTTTTTTTTATTCCTTCTGAATGACAGCTGGGCACTGGGCCAAAAAATTAAAATAGAATATCCTTCCCTAGATTATTCCAGAGGCGTCCTGAGCAGTCTCCCTTCCTCCAGCTTACCCCCCGCTCCCCAAAGCCACTTTCACAATAGTAATAAGGATGCACCTGCTGGTAAAGAGTAGCCGTCAGGCGTGGAGGGCTTTCTACGTGCCGGGCCCCGTGTTAAGAATGTCACAGATGGAATTCATTTAATTCTCAGAAAATAAAAACAGTAATACCTATGAGGAAGGTAGGGGTTTTGTTTTCAATTTCAAAGAAGAAACCAAGGTTTAGGGAGATTGAGTAACTTGTCACACAGCCACCATGTGGCTGAGCCGTGAGTAACACCCTGGTCTCATTCCAGCTCCAGAGCCCGAGATGGTTGACTTCTTAGCTTTGAGGCCTCTCAAAAGAAGCTGATGTCATTTTCCTGGGCGATACCCTTCAGGATCGTCCCAAGTATTTGGAATCAAATCTAAATTCTTTATCAGGACACATAAGGCCCTGCTCACCTCTGAACACAAGGCCCTTCCCTGTTGCACACACGGCCTTGATGCAGCTTCCCCAAGCAACAGAAGCAAAGCAAAGAAGCCCCCCTCCTGCCCATTTGCTTCCCCCCTCCCCGCGCTCCCACCCCACCCTATGACTTCCTTGTGATTTTTCCAGGCTGAGTTCAATTGATACTTTCTCTGTCATAGATCAGAGGCCCCTGCTCTGGGTGCCCTAAAACCTAACACACACTTCTACTCGGTCACCTGTTGAATGGCACTTGGTTCTCTTACTTGTTTCCTTTCCCCACAAGAATCAAATTTCCTCCTCTGAATCTTCAGTGCTTTGTACAACACCCAGTAGGTAGGCGGTAACACTCCACAAGTATTGAGGAAGGGAGGGAGGGAGGGAAGGTAGGGAGGGAAGAACGAAGGAAGGAAGGGAGGGAGGGAGGGAGGGAGGGAGGAAGGAAGGAAGGAAGGAAGGAAGGAAGGAAGGAAGGAAGGAAGGAAGGGGCGGGAGGGAGGGAGGGAAGGAAAGGAAGGAAGAAAGGATGGAAGGAAAGAAGGAGAGAAGAGAGAAAAGAGAAAAGGAAAAAGAAAGGAAAAGAGGGGGCCCGGGGGCCCCGGTGGCTCAAGTGTCCCACCCTTGATTTCAACTCAGGTCATGATCCCAGGGTTGGGAGGCAGAGCCCCTCGTCAGGCTCCATGGCCGGAAGCCTGCTGGACAGTCTCTCTTTTTCTCTCTGCCCCTCCCCATCTTGTGTGCTCCCCCTTCCCCCCACCCGAGGGAGGAAGGGAGGAGGAAGGAAGGAAGGAAGGAAGGAAGGAAGGAAGGAAGGAAGGAAGGAAGGAAGGAAGGAACCTCCGGGGTGAGAGCACCGTACTCACACTTGAGAGCAGGGGTTGTGCAGGGGAGAAGCAGGGCTTTGTGGCTCGGGCCCTGCCCTCTGGCCCTTCCCTGCGTTTCCTGAGCCTGGGACCCGCCAGCCTCCTGGAGCAGCTTCCCTGCCGGCAGTAGCCCACTGTCCCTCTCCCACGGGAGCCATCAGATCCCCGCTGCCTGGAGGACTCGAGGCTGCAGAACTCGTGCCCTGCGGACCTTCATCAGATGGGTCCTTCCACGACGGCCGGGAGCCCCGGCTCAGCCCGATTGCTTTCCCGAGCCTCTGACATGCTTTGTCCGCCCCCACCTCGGCCCTGTGGCCTCGTCATCCCTCTGCCTCACAGCCCCTCCTCTCCCTACAGACCCCCCCTCCTCTCCCTACAGACCCCTGCTCGCATTCTGAGCCCTGAATACACCCCACACCTCCGGAGGCCTTCCTTGTCCATCTCTGCCAAAGCAGTTCCCCCTCCGGTGAGTATGTCTAGCCCATGTACCCCAACACCCCGCACATACACCCCACAGTCCGTACCCTATTTGCTGAAGCTGCAGCAGAAAACCCCACAGCTATTCCGTTTTATATCAAGATGAATTAATGACCTCCTACTCCGGCTAGGCCTTAGCCCTGCCCAACATTCCTTCATCTGCCAGTCCAGGCGGCTGCTGCTCTCGTCGTTTCCTCGTGACACTACTGCAGATTGTCCACCACTCTCCTCAGCGTCCCCGTGGAGACCTCTCCCGCCAGTGATGACCCTGCTGCAGACCTTCACAGAAATTCCCAATCTGTGCAACATTAACCGATTCAATTTCCTTTTCTTGCATCAAAAAGATGTATCCATATCTGTACATCCTTGTACTTTATTTCCTTTTGGGACAAAAACTTCTGCTTCTCTACCTGACACACAGTTTCTTCTTCCTAACAGAACCTTGCTTTTATGGAAGCAAAATC